GCAACGGGTCACAGGGTGGGGAGCCTGGCCAGCGGCGGTGACCCGGTGGCCAAGTTGGCGGCATAGGAACCAGATAAGGTTTTTCCGGCTGAGTCAGCACGGTTCCCGGGGTTTGGCACGGGTCGGGGCGCAGTGCCAGGGCTGGCGGGCAGGCACCCTCCTGTGCCTGCCACAGCTCGCTGGCTGGGCGCCAGTAGCCACAGCGACTTTGATGAGGCGGCCCCGGGGGCTTCCCAACACCTCCAGTCCCTGACACCCCAGCGCTCGGGACTCCTGAGCCCCAGGAACTCCAGGCTGGGGCTAGCCGCCAAGACTGGCTGTCAGCCCAGAGAAAAACATGCCCCAGACATCGACAATGACGACAAAGACAATGCTGCCCTCAGAACCGGGAGCCTGACCTCTGGGTCTGCCTGGCACACCCTTCTCTACAGAAAATGGTAGCCTATCCTTCACCTTCTGGCCCCTTCTAGTCCCTGCCTCTGGGTCTACCTGGCACCTCTCTCCTCCACTGATCCACCAAGGCTAATTCTGGTTTTCCAGAATGTTCTCCTAGAAGTAGACCCTGTTTTTCTTGCCTGGTCAGTGGACTCTTAGCCACTTAGCAAAGCCCCAGCCAGAGCGTTCCTTCCCCTCCCGTGCAGCGTTAAGTCCCCTAGGCAAGACAGGGAACAAGCACCCACCTCCTCCCTTGTGGCCCCTGAGGGCTCATGAGTAGCCACTGTTTAAAGTTCTGCCTGGGGCGGACACACCAGGTGACAGGGACCTGTCGGCCCCACCCAGAGCCCCCACCTTTAACACCTGGCTGGCTGTCCATTTCCCTGTGCAAGGGAGGAGGGGAACAGCCACAGCCACCTCGGCAGCCCTCCCTCCTGCTGGAGGCCTCCCTGGATGCGGCCAGTTTCCCTCTCCACTGGAGTGCTGCCTGCTCTCCTAGAATTGGAAACAGACTTTAGTGGGATCTTACAGCCAACCCTGTGACCCGCACACAAGAAGGCAAGAGCAGACTCCTCTGACCTCCACACGGGCTGTGACGCACATCCCCTGCTCACTCAAAGTAAAGAAAGAAATGTCAATTTTTTTTTAACATGTTAGGGTTAGGAAGGGAGGGTGGAGGGTTTGCCTGGGAGGATGGAGAGTTCTGGAGCCAGCCTGGGCTACAGCACCAGGTTCTGAGTCTGGATGTAAGAGCAATGCTAACCCCTGACCAGTGAGGCCACCATCACAAGGTCCCTATGGTATCTATCCATCCATCCGCCCTGGGCCAGATGCTGAGTAGGGCTGGGGGCAGTGATTCCTCCCGACATGGGACTATGACAATCCTGTGCCTCAGTTTCCCTTCTAGTCCCTTCCTTGTAGGATGAGTAAGGAGCCCGCTCATTTTTTTTTTTTTTTTTTTTTTTGCAGCAGGGTCTCGGGGAGCCAGGATATAGCTCAGGTGTGAACTTCCGCCTCCCGCTCCCTAGTGCTGAAAGAGACGCACGCCACCATGCCAGGAGTGGGCACGCACGACCTCGTGCATGCAAGGCCGGAGCTCAACTGTATTTGTTTATTTTTAAGACAGAGTTTTGCTTAGAGCCTAGGCTGGTCTTGAACTCCTCAATGCTCCTGCCTCGGGCTCTCTTGGGCTAGGTGACAGGCATGTGCCACCACAGTGGGCTTCCATTCTATTTCTGAGGTCAGGCATGGAGGTGATGGGTGTGGCTGGGGAAGACCAGCCCTGCACAGGGAACGTGGACAGACAGCTGCCGTGACAGAGCTCCTAATAGGCACCTTCCGACTGCTGTGCTACCTAGCAATTTCACTTCAGACACACGCCCATGAGGAACAAGAATAAACCCATGAAGGGAGAGCTGCAGAGCCGAAAGGTGGAGACAGCCCAGTATCCGGCCGAGATGCAGAACCGTCGGCCCACAAGCCAGGGTACCGCACAGCCATGAATGGGAACAGAGACTCTGATATACCACGGAGTGCAGTCTTGACACTGTGCTCAGAGAGACCCGGACATGCCCCAGAAGTGTCCAGAACGGGACATGAATGTAGGAGACAGGTGACCACGCTGTGGGGACGGAGCTGGAGAGGCCGACACATTCTAAACCAGACAGGAGTTCTGTTTATGATCTTGACCCCATGACTGAGCTAAAGGCCAGGCATGGAAGAGCATGCATGAGTCTGAGGCAGGAGAGTAGCCCTCGACTACACACTAAGACTCAGCCTCAGAAAAAAAAACCTGGGTGTGGTGGTGCCCGCCTTTAATCTCAGCACACGGGAGGCACAGGCAGGGGGATCCCTGTGAGTTCAAAGCCAGCCTGGGCTACTGAGCGAGTTTCAGGACAGCCAGGGCTCCAAAGAGAAACTTTGTCTTGGGAAAACAACAAAAAATCCTCACAAAAGACTGCCAGCTTGAAAAAAATCCCAGCGAAGCCACTCTGAGCCTGGGTGTGGCCGCAGAGGGACAGGAAGGCTACAGGATGTGCGTGCATCCAATGCCAGGAGGCCCAGATCCTAATCACAGCCACGAACTGCGCCCCAGTGTCCCCTCCTCAGACCCACAGCCCAGGGCCAATCCCAGCTGTCTAGGCTCAGCTGGTGGAAACCAGCCGTGGCCAAGACTGGGAAGGAAGACACGGAGACAGTGCCAAGTGGCCAGCCAGCCGGCACCGCCACGTGCCAGGAAGGGAGCGGGGCAGACGCCAGAGTCAACACACCGGGCCTGGGGCTGACATCTGTGGGGCTGGCTGGACCACAGGCTGACACAGGCCGCGCAGGTGCCAGGCCAGCAGGGCAGAATGTGAATCCCAGAGCACAGGGCTGGCTTCTACTGACATCAGCTCTACATCCAGCCACCAAGCAGTCTTGTTTCCCAGAAGACCACTGGGCCCCTAACACATTGTTGGTTCCCCAGGACCTCTGCCTGGCTCTTTTCTCCCCAGAGATCTCCCTTTCTGAGCTTCCCCAGCCCTGGAGGTAACAGATGCACACCACGCGGGTCCATGAGATGCAAAAGCAGGCCCTTACCCAGGGAGCCACCTCCCCATTCTGTGTACACAAAACCCCTCCCAGGCTGTGTCTCTGCATGACCCCTGACCCTGACCCAGGATATCTCCCAGAAAGGCCCCCACAATGGCTCCTGAAGTCCCCCTTTGTCTCACTGCATTGGGGATGGGGGACGGGGTTGGGGCAGCCAACCCCTGGCCCTGTTGCCCTTTTTATACCTAGTCATTGTGGAGTCGGGCGGGGTGGGGGGGGTGTGGTGGCGTGCACAGGGGATACCCGTGATCTGTGACTGTAAACCATGACGCAGTAGGGCGGGGATGACCAACTTGCTTAGCGCTGGGGTCTGCAGGGAGCCGAGCCAATGCCAGGAAAATTGATAAACTTCGCTTGCCCTCAAACTGGCAGGCGCCAGCTGAAAGCCACACACCTTGAGCCTCTCCGGGCCACAGACCTTTCAACTCCTTACAGAACGGCTCAGGCTGCGGCTGTTCTGGACCAGGGAGACTGAGGCACTGAGTTGGGGTGGAGCCCACACACACCCAGCCAAACACAAATCGTTTTATGTGTGGTGTGTTTAGCTAGAACCTCCTGGGGAGTGCGAGGCCCAGTCTTCAAGCCCACAGCCACCTCTGGGCCTAGTGTGGGACGAGGTCACACCCAGGAGCGGTGATGTCCATTTGACAAGTCAACTGGCAGACTGCCCAGCACACACCTAAGCAAGCCAGGGCGAGGCCGCCCCGCCCAGTCCGGCCGGGCCCTGTCTCAGCAGGTCCCGTGAGGGCACAGAGGGTTTAATTCTCCTCTCAGTTCCTCGAAGCTATTCTTTGTGCCCCAGGGCCTTTGCGTGGCCTCGCCACCGGAACAGGGGTATTTACCACATCTTGCCTACAAGTACTGGACCCTAACCTAACTTAGTCCCCTTGGTGTCTCAGCTCCACGGCTCCCTGGGCATACTCTTCCACGCCAGATGATTCTCCAAAGGTGGCCCCCCGACAGCAGAGCTCAGGTCACCCCCAGAAGCCATCCTAATCAGCTCTGTCACCCTGGGACTCAGCCAAGCTCTGGGGCTACCTTTTGGCCACACAAGACTTAGCTCTGGAGCCAGCCCAGGAGCTGGTTTCCACCCTGGCCACACACCCAGGGGTCGGCTGGGCCAGCTGTCCAAGCTGGAATGCAGGCCCCAGCCGGGCGGGCAGGCCGACCATCTGGTTTCCATTGGCCTGCCGACTTCAAAGGTTCCCTGCTGGCCACTTCCTCCAGCTTGGCTGCCTGCAGGGAAGAGCTAGGGCGCCTGAAGGGATGGCTAGGGCCGGCTGAGCTTCCTTCAGGCCCCTCCCTGGCCCAGGACACCTATGGGGGTCGAGGGACACCCTCTACCTAGCCAACCAACACAGCCCAGCACTGACGTAGGACCCTAGCCCGCTGCTCCCCCACCCCCACCCCCCTGGACACTGTAGCTCAGGCCACAGGCCTCTGCAAACCTCACAGCTTTCCAGAGCGGGCTCTACAGCCTTGTTTCGGGTCACCAAGACACCTCACGCGTGCTGCGCATGTGTACATGTGTAAACCACAGGTGGACGCCAGGCACCTCCCTCTAGGCTCTCCACGGTACTGTTTGAGGCAGGGTCTCTCACTGACTCAGCTAGGCTACCTGCAGGCGAGCCCCAGGGGTACTCCTGTCTCCCAGCACTGGGACCACAAGCATACCCCACTGTGCACAGCATTTTCTAGGGGTGCTGGGAATCCAAACGCAGTCCTCCTGTTTGCGCGGCTCTTTACCACCAAGTCGTCCCCCAACACCAACAAGCCACCTTTCTACCGAGGAGGAAGGACTCGGCAGAGTCCCACATTGTCCTCAAAGTTCTTGGTGCCTTGCCCTGACCTGTGTACCTCAGCCACACTCAGGATCTAAGCTGGGCCTCCCCAGGATCCTCACCATGTCTGGGAGTGGGGGCGGTAGTGATCAAAGGCCCCCCCAAACGGCTGGACCCAAGCGCATGGCCTACCTGTTTGAACTGCTCCTCAAACGTCCAGTCTCCGTGGTCTGGCGGTGGCATCTGGGATGCCGTGTGAGTGGGGTGGGCCGGACCAGGTCCCAGGCGCTCAGGGCCACCCAGCATTCTGGGACCACCATCTCCACGGAAAGCCCGAGCAGGTTGGGTCTTGGGGGCAAACAGGCCTGCAGAGCCCAGGCTGGCAGACCCTGGCGGGCCCAGGCCCTCCTCCTCCTCTTCCTCAAAGTCCTCCTCCTCTTCCTCCTCTTCCTCCTCCTCCTCCCCTAGCTCTTCCAGGTCTTGTTCTTCCCACTTGGGCTTCCTGCAGTGGAGACAGGCACCCTCCGTCAGGGGAGACAGGCAGGTGCCACCTTGTCTCAGTGGCAAGGCCAGGCCCACCCATTGCCCCTGCCTCAGTTTCTCTCTCTGCAAACAAGAAGAGCAGCCACAGGCTCTGGGTGGGTTCCTGCCCACACCCCACTCTACCCGCTGAACAGACTCTTACAGAGGACCCCAATACATCTTCTCAAAGGTTCTGGCCTCAGGACCTTTGCATGTGTGGCTCTCCACACTAGGCTCTCTGTAAACAGTTCAACATTCTCCAGGTCCCTTCTGTCAAAACTCACCCCTCCCCCACACCGCAGCCTCATTTTCTCAGCAGCATTTGGCACAGCCACAGAGAACACAGAGTCTCAGGATCCCCGCGTGGCGAACCCAGGAACACAGGTTCACTCAGCAAACACTTGGCCAGACCTGTAGTATCCCCTCTGTAACCCTCCTGGCTCCCACGAAAAACATCAGACGCTGCCATCCCCAACCCCAACTCACGTGTCATCATCCGAGTCCATGTCCAACAAATGCCTCTCTCCTTCTGTGTGTCCTGGGCCCTCCCGGCCTCTTCCACGCAGGATGGGTGAACCCAGAGTCCCTTCCTGGGTTGTGTCTTCATCTTCGGAGCCAGGAGGCCCATCCTCAGAGCCACCAGGAGAGGATGGATGTCCCAAGCCAGCGGCAGCGGCTCGCATGGCAGCCAGAGCAGCCATCTGCGTCCTGTGCATTCGGGCATTCTCAGGCTCCCTGTCCTCATCTGCCACGGTGGTCCGAGCCCGGATACCAGTGGGCTCGGGTGGTGGGGGTGGCGGCGGCTGCCGGGCCTCCAGTTCCTGCCGGGCACGCTGTTGCCTCTGAATGAGGGTTTCCATCACAGCCTGCAGCTTCATGGCCCTACGGGCCGGGCCACCCCGGGCACCAGGGGCAGGTGGTGGGGGTGGCCCCTGTGGGGAAGGGTCTTGGCTGCACCGCAGCGTGGGAACCTCGGGGGAGCCGGGACAGTGCAGGGTGGCGGTGGCGGTGGCAGGGGCAGCCAACTCAGGCTGAGGGGAGGTGGGGCATGCCAGGGGCTACCAAAGGGCTCCTTGCTGTCACGTTGGGCACTCAGGGGCAGAAGCTGGTGTCAGGCTCATTCAAGTGCTTGTAGACTCCTGGGGGAACACAGGAGATGAGGTTAGACCACACCTGCGCCCACGGACACATTCCCTCCTCAGAATCCCTCACACCTGCTCATGCTCTTCCCATCCACACCTATGGAGATTCTGGGTCCCCTCTGGTTAGGCCCACCAGGGACACCATGAGTTATTGTCCCATAAGCAGGACAGTGTGGGAGGGGCCTGGTGTCCTTGCTTTCTTATTGGCTGTACCCCTGTTCTAGACCCTGGAGTGCCTCTGGGTTCTGGATTCTGGCTCTATAATCTTCATGTTGCTTAGCCCGAGAGGCCTGGAATCTTGGTCAAGATTATGACCTTGCTGTGTGTACAAGCCTTAGGCAATGCACCCTTCTCACGTGTGCGCGCGCACGCACACACACACACACACACACACACACACGCACACACGCTGCCTCAGAGAGACCTCAGCTGGTCTCCAGGCCTGATCTGCCCACAGAGTGGACAGCACGTAGGTGATGGTGGAGGGTCCTGGGAAGGATGGTCTGTGCTGCAGATGGGGAAACCAAAGTTCAGAAGGTCACGCAGGCTGGGGTTTGGCCAGGTACCGGTGTCCTGTGCTGCTCATCTGGGGGCAAGTGTCCCAGAATATAGATAGCATCCTGTGACAGAAAGGGGGCCTCCTAGGCCACACCCTCGACCCCCACATAAACCACCAATAAAACAGTGGGAGAAACCCAGCAGGCCTGACATCAAGAAGAAAGTTGAACCCACCTCCCAAACAGAGGGCCTAAGGGGTCACCCTCAGCCCAACCTGAACTCCAGGACACACATGGCCCCCAGGACTTACTCCCTGGGCTGTGGGGAGGAAGGGACAGCTGGGGGACTTTCTGGACCTCGTCCTCCACCTAGGGGACCCTGCAGTGCCTCGAGGCCTCCAATGAGAACGGGGAAGTCTGTCCCCCTTCCCTAGACATCTGGCCACCCAAACCGTGGGGCTCACAGGAGAACTGTGGCAGGTGTGGCCCCAAGGGACCCCTGGGTCTAGGATTTCTGAGACAGGAAGATTTTAGAGGCCCCGGCAGTGGAGCAGCCATCCGGGACTCAACACACATACCCAGTGGCTGCTGGTCACCACCCCTACCTTCCGACCCCCCACCCCGTCCACCAGACCCAAGAACTGCTGAAGGGGACATTTCTGGACACTCTTCGACGTGGTCCATCCTGTCCGTGCCTCAGACACCTTGGAGCTGCTGAGCTCACACCCGTACGGAAATGTGGAAAGTGACAGCCCTCTTTGGAGCTGGGTGGGGAACACACAGGGAAAAGGCTAGAGGAAGCCCCTCTCCCAGACTCTGTACCCCCTCCCAGGCCTGCTTGGTTTAATGACCCTTCCTGGTGGAGGGGTGGGGGAGGGGAACAGGGCCGGCCTCCACTGCTGGGGCTGGTAGTGGGTGGAGGGAGGTAGGGTGGGAACCCCAGCGCTGCCCCTAGGCCAGCCAGGACAAACCCCCTACCCTCCAGGGGTACCATTACCCCTAATCTGCTGTTGCTCATCCCTGGAGAACCCTCCCGCCCAGCTCTTTGTCCTTGGCCCCCACCCTCAATTTACAACACCCTCAGAGAGCCAGGACTGGGTGGCTGGTGTTTGAGGGGGAACAGGCTGGGGTGGGGGCTGGGAGGAGACCCAGAGCCACACCCTCATCCCCCACCACCTCTGGGCTTCTGGGGTGGGGGGGGAGAGGGAGAGAGGGAGAGGGAGAGAGAGAGAGAGAGAGAGAGAGAGAGAGAGAGAGAGAGAGAGAGAGAGAGAGAGAGAGAGAGGTCACCAGATCGGCCAGGCCTTGCAAAACACGGTTATTTGGAGTTGTGCAAGGCCAGGGCCTGAGGGTGGCGAAAGGGGCCCCTCTCTCCTCCCAGGGAGGTGGAGGGGGAAGGGCAGGAGCTGGGGAGGGGTCTGGGAAAGAGGGCACCGTGTCCCCCCCCTCACCAGGAGACGTGTGCAAAAACACATTCCAGTAAGTCCTAGTAGTCAGAGAACAAATATAACAACAAGACAAACGAAAACCCCTAAGGTAGTCGGGATTTCAAAGGCTTCTTGGAAAGAGAGCTCAGGAGGGTGTGGGGGGGAACCCCTGCTGCCCAAGTTGTAAAAAACGGAAGATATTTGACAAACCGGCTGCGTTGACACACGCGCGCGGGCGCACTCCGCGCTTCCTGCCCCCTCTTTTGTGTCGGGGGGGGGTCCTGGGACCCCGTGGGAAGGATTGGAATGGGTGCACCCCGCGGGAGGAGAGAGGACCCCATCGGTGCACTGGAACTAGGGAGCAAAGGGGGTCGGAACGGCGAACCACGTTGGACACAGGGTTTTGGAGGAGAAATAGAACCGAAGGCACTGGGGTGTGGCGCCGCGCCTGGTCTGGGATTTTCCCAAGCACTTGGGAAGGAAAGCTGAGGCAGGGGGATGGCCTCGAGTTCCAGGCCAGTCTGCACTTTATGCAGAGTTCTAGGTCAGCCAGGACTACACGGTGAAATCCTAGCTCCAAACATTAAACATACGTTTTTTAGGGAAGAAAAAGCGAAATGAAGTCCCCAGAGCGCAGCCCCCAGCCCCCGCGCGTACACACGCGCGCACACACCCCGGGGTCGTTTCCTTCCGCCAGGGGACAGCGCGCACTCGCGACCCCCGCGCGCCCGGACACTCGCGGACCGGATGAAGGTCTCCAAGGTCTACGGCCGCGACAGTCACCCACCCAGCCCTACACCCCCACACGCATCCCTGCCTAACTTTGGAGACCCCACACTTGTCGGTTTCCAGGGTGCTGGAGCCGCGCTACAGAAGGCCTAACGGACACTGCTCGGGGTGGCCCGGGGGGGGGGCGCATGCCCAGGTGCCCGGAGTCCAGCCCGATGGTGGCCCCCGGTGGCCTCTCTCCCCTTTGGCCTCTCCCTGATGCCCGGTGCACGCTCCCGGTTCCGGGGTCACCCGCCTCACCGAATCTCCAGGCCGCGTCTACACCTCCATCCGTCCGGATCCGATAGGGACGAGGTCTCCGCGCGCGACCGGCCCCCCGCCCCGCCCCTCCCCCACCCGGCAGACGAATCGCCGAGTGACAAATTGCTCTCAGATGCAAATACCTCGCCGGTGATTCAGCAGCCCCGGGGACTAAGGAGAAGGTGGTGGGTGTCTCTCCGAGGTCCCCCTTTCCGAGCTTCCCCAAGACCTCCCCGGGTTCCCCCCTCCAACTCAATTTACGGACGCCCACGATGAGAGGAGGTGGAGGGCAGCTGGAAATCCGCGACGGAGGGACGGAAATTTTTAGGTCGCGGCCCCTTTAAATGATAATAAATAATAAAAGGAAGGGGGAACCGGACTGAGGGACGCCCCGCCCTAGTTTAGGGACTGTGTGCAAAGTGCCTGCCGCGGCCCACGGCGCAGAGCCGCGAGCGGAGGGCGGGGCCGCGCGGGCGCCGTCGAGGGGAATCAGAAGGGTTTCGGGGTTCCTCACCCCACCTGGGAGCGGAAAGCCGGCTGGGCCCCGCTCGTTTCCTGGTTTCACCCACGTGAGATGGAGCAGCCGAGCTGGCGCTGGGCCTCCTGCCCACTGCGCTTACCGAACTTTTCCAGCCCGGGTCTCCATGTCTCTGAAATGGACTTAAAATCCCGGGAGAGACCAGCGCTGCGGGGGGGGGGGGGGGGGGGGGGGGG